CATAGCGCTTCAACATTTTTATAGGTAGTAGCGTTAACAATTTTGTAAATTTTGGTAAATGTTTTAGACACCGACATAGTCTAGTTTTGTAAAAATATTACATTTAGTGGAACAGGGTGACCAAAGACACCAATGGCGGTGGTGCATTCAAGATCAACTAAATGCAGTTTCCAACGCTTAAAAAGCAACAAAACTGACAAAATCTGAAAGAAAATTTAATTTTGATATTTATTGACCTTGATTGAATCCCCACATCACTGAAATTACTCGACAATTCAGGGTAGAGCATTGGCAGGTCCGGTAGGCTGAACAGCTCAGAACCATGATAATTTCGAAATTGAATGAAAGAGTGTCGGCCTTTGATATTACTTTTTCTCCTTCAATTTTAATTTTTGATTGTGAAAAATTAATTTTGTCCATGAGCAAGCTTTGCGTTTTAAGATATATAATTTTTGAAATGGCGGAGATAGCCAACAATTTATTTTTGTTAATGCTTCACAGGTTCATACATGACGTTGCTCTGTGATCATAAATCAAAAATATATATACAAATCATAAAACTCATCGAAATTTGTTGCTTGGTTCTCTTTTTTAGACTGAAAATAGTGGTCAAAATACCTTAGTGTTGTAATTTCGAACCGGTTTTACCTAGTTCTCTATATACCGTGGCTCGCTCGAGCTGCGTGGAGTGAGCCCGGGCCTCCTCAGCCGTCTCGCTCGCAGCGCCCGCCGGTGACGTCACGGTCCCTCCGGCGAGATCAGGTCGGGACACCGCGCGCCAGGGCCGGCCGGCGTGGCTCTAAAGGTCAGCCGCGGGTATATACACGTTTTGAGGGTGGAATCTGAAAACAGGGCGCCGGAGGACATTTAGTCACGTGATTACTGAAAAGTCCTCTCCCTTTCAATGCCTCTAACAGGTCAATTGTCACGTGACAGTTTCAAGATCCTTAATCAAATCGCCCCAGGCGCCCTGTATTCAAATTCCACCGTTTTGAGCAATGATGCGGCGTTGCCGTCAACTGGCGTTTCAAGGCATTTTGCTACTTTCCCATACGATAGCTACATCGTACCACTTAAGATGGCGGCTATTCTGATACCCCTTTATCAGCCTCTGCTAACGCAATGACGCAGTAGTTTTTTTTTTTTGGCAATTAATGCTCTTTCGCTATAGCGGGCATGGACTTTACGTGCGAGTGATTCTTGTTATCCCATCCATGGTGTCCTGCAAATCGGCCAAAAGTCATGCAAATTTGCGGTGTCTTGACCAGCATACCTTGATTCGTTGATGTCTCGGACCATGGTTAGAAAAAAATAAAAACACAATTTTGTTTTGAACACATTATTGAAAAGAAACACAATGCGTCATGCTGATGTGCCATTTATTTCACGCATAACGATCAAACGATTCAGAGAGCGGGTGAGTCAACGAGAGAGGGGGAGAGAGGAAGAAAGAGAGAAGAGAGGGAGAGATAGAGAGAGAGAGAGAGAGAGAGAGAGGGAGGGAGAGAGAGAAAGTTTGGCAGTGAAAGAGAGCGAATTACACTGTCGCTCTTTATTGTTCGTGTGCAAGTGCATTCTAAAGTCAAATTATAGGATTATAATTGCAGCATACAATGCCCTGGCCATAAATAGGATTACAATTGTGTCAGGATGTGTTAAAAGGCGAGATCACAATTTTCAAAATGTATCTTTTAGGAGATCTGATGATGGGCTATGCCCGAAACTGTTCTCTTTTTTCTCGGTCATAATTTAGAATACATTCATTATTATGAGGCTTCGGTTTTCCTTCATCATTATACGGATACAATTGTTATTGAATTCCTAACTTGAACATTAAGTAATAATTGAAAAGTAAAATAATTTAATTAAAACGCTCAAAGGAAATGCCTAATTCATTGTGCTGGTGTGTCTGAGGTAAACCTTGTTTGTGAAATGATGTCTGTTCTCTGTGTCATGTGTGCAGGCAAAAACAAGAGCAAGATGCCCGAAGCATTTCAAGCAGTGTTGAAACAAAAATGATATTAGGGTAGTGCAGCCGTTGTCTTCAACATGTAACACTCTCCGAAAACATCACCAAAAACTGTTGCTATTGTCTGTCTAACAGCGCATTGTGTCGCGGACGTGCTCTAAACAAGGCGCTTGTGCTTGTTAGTGCGAGTTTTTAATTACCTACTCTGTTACCCAGTGCCATGGGATGGAAACCAAAGTGGCTCGTCTCTCGCCACTGGGTATCAGCGAGGTATGATTTAAGACCTTCACTTGCCAATGGTATCATCGATCGGCCGCTCCATCTGGCAGATCACTCCATCCATCCACCATCCTACACACGGCAGAATGATGAACGACTTGTATCCGGACAGCAGGCAGCTCTCTCCCGGGTACAGCGAAGCGGTCTCATTCCAGAACCTCGCCCCGTGAATGGAGGCCCGCCTGCCGCTGCTCATGTCGGTGAACTTGGTGTCGCCGAACGCCCTCCAAGCGCCGATGAAGTAGTACTTGCCGTCGGAGAGGGTGTTGATGTCGTCTGCTTCCTGGCTGGTCAGCGGGAAGGCCGGAGTGGAGTTGACGTGCAGCGAGAGACACATGCTGATGATGGCGATTTTGGATCCGTACAGCTGCTGGGGTTTGGCCTTGTAGGCGATGTGCGGGTTGCTGATGGGGATGAAACCAGACGGGAAGATGGGCGCAGGAGTGGTTGGAGGAGCAGTTGTAGCTTTCGTGGTTGGAGAAGGAGGTGGCGTGGTTGGAGAGTGAGTTGTAAGCTTCGTAGTTGTAGGTTTCGTGGTTGAAGGGCTTGACGTAGTTTGAGTGGTTGGAGGGGGAGTTGTAGGTTGCGTGGTTGGAGCGCTCGACGTGGCTTGCGTGGTTGGAGGGGGAGGCGTAGTCTGTGTGGTTGGAGCGGAATGTGTACTAGGTTCTGTGGTCGGAGGTGTTGTGGAGCCAGTAGTAGGCGATGTAGTCAGGTCAGGGGATGCCGTGGGACAGATGGTGAGTGTCTCGATGCTCATGGCAGGTGACGTGAAATTATTGGGAGATGTAAGGTCAGTAGACGGTGTCGTTAGGTTGGTACTGGGGGTCGTAAGGTTCCCGGAAAGAATCGAGGTATCGCTGGCAAATGTGGTGAGGCTGGTAGAAGGCGTTGTGAGGTTCGTAGTAGCTGCTGGAGGCACAGTTGTAGGTGCAGCTGCGACGCAAGGTGGATTTGTGACAGTTACAGCATTGCCCACGGAAACCGAAGAATATCCATAAAAGGATGAAGAAGAACTGGACGAAGAGCTGGATGAAGATGACGAAGAGCTAGAAGGAGATGAAGAAGAGCCTGAAGTAGATGTGGAAGAGCTAACGACAGATGTTGAGACCCCGGTGGACGCTGTGGACGACGTGGAGCCGCCAACTACCTCGTACAAGTCGTGCTTCCTTGATGAGAGTGGATATTGATCGCTAGGCGCCGGCCAAAGCTTGCAGAGGCCGTTGGCATCGACCACCCTCCATTGTATGCAGGCGCTGTTCTTGTGGCACAGCACGGCACACTGCGTGGCTCTCATATTGGCCACCTTCTTCAAAGTACTGTACGGATGACCCCGGTGAAGAGCAGCTTTGTACATGGTGCCGTAAGAGGGGGGACAGGTCATACTCAGTACGAGCAGCAGCAGAAGGCGGGTTCTCCACCGAGAGGGCTGCATTGCTGGTGTCAGAAGTGAGCCGTGAGAGTCGGATGGTGCGGCCTGAAACAGGTCACTAAAGTACTTGAAGATGGGCGCCACAGATCTCCAGCTACAGTGTGTTCTGTTTCCTTGTCATTCAACAAATACTTGCGGAAAATCCTTTTTGGACAGCTGTCGTAAGAAATGACAACAGATAGATGACTGGTGACTTCCCAAAAGGTCAGACTATGTACTCTTCGCCAGCTAAAATCCTTGATGTGAGGATTTTCTGGCCTGTGCCTGGAGTGCTTCTCCAAAAGCTGCGGGCGAATACTCACAGACTAGCGAACACTTGATGTTATTACGTGTCAAAGTAGCTCAGAGATCGGCTTCAGGCATTTTACAGGACAGCTCACGACAAAAGTGTCAGACTAACTGCCAGTACCGACCCCTGGCCGGACGGTAACATTGATTCACTAAATGGCGCTACGTGGCAATACGCACCCGGCCATAACCACGCGCATTGCATCTGAAGCGCATCGACCACTTCTAGTCTCTTTGATCACCTGTTTACAGTTATACGTTCCATTGAGTGGCCGTGGGCTGCATAGTCATCTTCGCGTTAAACTGTAAAGCAGGTTTTGGCGAACGCGTAGGTCCGTTTCGCCACGTTGTCTAACTATGCGTGTCGAATGGCTGAAGTACAAGGAGCTATGTGATACAGCAGCGTGACGAAGCCAAATTCATGCCATAATGCGATACCTTAACCCTTACAGATTCGGAGGTGCATTCAGAGTCCAAAGCATATGTATGTTTTCATCATGCATCGTCCAAGCAGCTCATAGAACTTCTGTGATGAAAAATCAAATAATGATTTGGTTGGCATAAAGAATATTCGTGTGACTTAGCTCTGTCACAAATAACGTGTTTTCTGACCTTTACGATGTACTTACCTATACGATCTCTATGGACGGGGCAGGATAGGAGTTTCGAGAAGCGCTTTTAGGTTTGAAAGAGAATCCAGCGCGCAATCTGTGGCCATTCTCTTAGTTTCCGATGCATGACACATGTGAAACATATGCTTGATGGTGAATGGTTAGTGGTTGGCATAGGTGGGTACGCCCAGTCTAGATTTGAGTAAATGCATCAATCATCCCAGGTAAAGTAATTTATCTAAAGGCCAGAATAGCTAAAATAAGTGAGTCCCATCAAATGTATTTCCCTATTTGACTTGTCGCGATGGACCAGCCGGGAGAAATCTGACGAAACTCATGAGTTGCCAGTCATCTCTTTTTTGCTGTCTGCGCCCTACCATTGTTAATGGGTTACTGGACCGGTGACCATGCCGATCGGGGCCCACCAGCATTCATCCACTCGCGGAAAATATGCCGTTCTCCCTAGGGTGCAGTCGTTGGACCAACGGCAGAACATGAGTCCGCCAACCCTTCCGCCTCCCGTATTAGCATAATGTGTCGGCGACGGCGCGGGTGGCGCTGGGGCCGCGACTGGGGACGACAACACACGATCAATCACGGAGAAACAGGGGCCGCCGTGCCCTGTCACCGGCAGGTCAAAACAGGCGGCCACTGTCGGCTCCCACTACAGTCACTGTCGGGCCGCGACCGATCTCAGAGCGGCGGACGGCGCACGGTGGACGGTGGACGGCAGAAGTGAACGGCAGACGGTGGACGGTTGACGGTGGACGGTCGGTGGACGGTGGAAGACGGACGGCAAACGGCAGAAGACGAGAGAGGACGGAGAAGGGCACTGAGGATCGCACCGGACAGTATCAAGACAGGCAAGAGTTGACACTTTAATAAACTATTTCGGACAGATTCCGCACAGCTCTCCGTTAATTGCTTGAAGAAGTCCGACTCAGCTGACGGGTTTTTCTGCGCTAGTCTGCTGGGGAAAAACAAAAAGTCGAAAACTGAGGCCATCTGCATTGAGTTCTTTTATCGTCATCGGAGCCTTCCTTCATCATGCGTTTATCAGTATGCATCTACCTCGCCTTGAGCACCGCCATTGTCTCAGCATCCCCGGAGCCGAGGTGCTGCGGCTCCAGCCCGTTCCCAGCGTCTCAGGAGCGCCAGCTTCGTCTACCGGACGGGTTCGCGATGGCGCTGGAGCCCAAGATCCTGTTCAACCTGTGGAACTCGGACGAGTCGGGCCGGATGCGCCTTCAGTCGCGGCTCGAGTTCCAGTACACGCCTCCGGCGGGGGCCACGGGTAGACAGGCGCGCCAGCTGATGGAGAGGTCATCTGTGTTCTCGTCTATCCGCGCCGCGTTCGCCCAGTTTGGCCTGGACGGCACCGCCTGCCTGCAGAGGGCCGTCTGTGAGGTGAGTTAGATCCATCAGATGAGTTCAGTTAATGAGATGAGTCAAATCCATTAGATGGGTTCCATTCGTGAGATGGACTCAATTCATAACACGCGCACCGACGGGGGGGGCGGATATCCGCCCCCCTGAGATTTTTCGCGAATAGCGGGAAAACCGCGGCGCGTAGCGCCGCAAAATTTGGTACGACTGTTTCATCATCAATTTTACACATGGTGTGCAAGTTTGAACCTCCTAACTTTTAAGGTCAGGTCACCAGGTCACTTTGAATGACCCAACCTCAAGTCACTTTTTTGCAACTTTGTCACCGTGCCAGAGCTGCAGTAGATGTCGGAGGCCTTTGAAAGTCGCAGGATGTTATTAGGTAATTAGTAAAACTATTCTATTTTAGCTACAATTTGTTTATCTCGGAATTTTGATATCGGTGACCTAAGGTCAGGTCAATTTCGCGACCTCCCCATTATAAGTCAATGGGGGAAAAATCAACTCCCTGTTTTTACCACTAAAACGGGTCGGAATGGCCCCATATACCATACATGACTTCATTATACGATCACCTTCACTACCTTGAGGTCAGTTTTGCTGTTGGGCAGCTGTAAGGTCATGTGACGTCATCAAAGGTCACCAAAGGTTTTTTGCCAATAACTTCGTACAGGAACAAGATACAGCCGCGCGGATGGTCTCATTGTGTTCAGCTCGTCAAGACGCATCGAATGATATACATGATGACCTCGAGGTCACGTGACCTGAGGTCAACCTTTGACCTTGACCTTTCGAGGTCAACATATATATCATTCGATGCGGATTGACGAGAGGATCACGATGATGCCCTTTGTTTGTTCCTATCTTGACTAATTCGAAAGTTCGAGAAAAACTGTCTCCATATCTAGCGCCGCCATTTTGACTTTTTCGACCCCTGTGACGTCATCTTTGACCTGACCTGAAAATGACCTGAATAAAAATTGTAGACCTTGACCGTGCCTATCCGATGCCGTTTACCGCTTGTCGCTATCTTGCTTCGTTCTCGAGATCTCAGGGGAGGGCGGTCATCCACACCTCCCCCCCCCCGTCGGTACGAAGTAATCCGTGAAACGCATGAATTATTTTACGTATGAGTAACATTTATGTAAAACCAAAAGTAAATTAGACAACTGACAAGCCATTATGAGCCATGTGTTTCTAAGCAGGTTATGCGGAGAAGCTGATGAGTGGACCTCAGATTGCCATGAATTCTTTTCCGTCTTCTCCTAATCCTTCTCGTACCATGAATTCCCCCCTTCTAACAGACCTGACTTCACTGACAGTCACGCTGACCCGTCTCTGCCCCTCACCCCTTCCTTGCAGGCCTTACTTCACTGACCCCGCCCCTCTTCCTCGCCACTCAGACGGTCTTCGTCAGTGACCTGGGTCTATTCTTACCAAATGCCGTGAATGCACATTCACGGCATTTGGTAGCATGCATAATTATTCAACATTCATTCATTCATTCATTCATTCATTCATTCATTCATTCATTCATTCATTCATTCATTCATTCATTCATTCATTCAGGCAATATTCATAATCGTTCACGCCATTAACCCTCGCCCTGGCAGGGGGGGTCGATGCGACCCACCCCCTAAGGTTTTTCGAAGATAGCGTAAAAACGGTGGCGCTCAGCGCCGCCAAATTTTGCACAGCCTATGGAGCAACCTTTTTACATATGACCTGAAAATTTCAGGTCCGGGTGACCTTGGGTCAGGTCACCAGGTCAGAAAAACCGGTGCAAGGTCATGGTCAAATTTCAATTTTCTTTTTGCACCTGTCCAACTCACGTATTTTTTTACTGATTTCCTTCAAACTTTCAGGATGTGCTAAGTTCACCGAGTTGTATAACATATAGTCCGGCTTTTTTGAGGTCACTGACCTGAGGTCAGTTAGAGGTCATTACGTCGTAATTTTAAGCCTATGGGAAAATACTAAATTCGGAAAATACTGGAGATATCCGCTTCGTTCTATCACTTTTGTGCTTTGAAACCACGGTACTTAACAGCAGGTCACTTGGTGCTTCTTTGTTTGGTGTACTTATCCATGGGTCAGGTCAAATGAGGTCAACTGAGGTCAAATGACGTTTTTGCCAATAACTTGGCACATAATGACGCTAGAGCTTAAAAAATGGTATCATTGTGTTCCTGGTGATCAGCCGAATCGAATGATATGCGATATGATGCAATTTGGTTAACTTGAACTTAATTTATTAATTTAAGTTTACTTAAAAATTTCAGAAAAACTTTAAGTACACTTAAGCAAGCTAACAAGTATATCATTCGACGCGCCTTGACGTGCTGAGTTCACTGGTGCTTTTCTTTTTGCTCTATCTTAATTAGATCAAAAGTTATAAGCGAAAAACTTTTGACCTGTTTTTAGCGAAATTTTTACATTTATACCCCCCAAAACCCCCCTAAATATTGACCTAGAGCAACCAACTTTGCACAGGGACGAGAACTCCAGGGGGCCCACCTACCTACCAAATTTGGTGTTTCTAGGTGCCATAGGAGCCAATCGCGAGGGGGGGGGGGTCGCATCGACCCCCCCCCCCCTGCCAGGCCGTGTTATGAAAAAGGTCCTGCCAGGGCGAGGGTTAAACACATTCGGCGAGATTAGGTGGACGTAAAAGAATACATTTCATAAGATTGCCGGTAGCGGTAACTTCAGCCAGTGCTGCTAGATCCTATTCACCGCGTTGGTAAGATTGGGCCCTGGTCACGCTGACCCTTGTCACCGTCCCCTGACCCCCTATAGACGGCTGATGAACCCCACCCCTGTCCCCTCCCCCCGGCAGACGGCGGCCGCCCCGCGCCACTCTGACCCTGTCACCTCCCCTCCCTACTGACCTGACTGCACTGACCCTCCCCCCGTCCCCCGGAATACTGACCTGACTGCACTGACCCGCCCCCTCTCCCCCCGGCAGACGGCGGCCGCCCCACGCCACTCTGACGGCCTTCTCGGTGACCTGATCACACTGACCGTGTCCCCTGTCCCGTCCCCATACACCTGACTGCACTGACAATCCCCTGTCCCCCGGAATACTGACCTGACTTCACTGACCCGCCTGTTCTCCTCTCGGCAGACGGCGGCCGCCCCGCGCCACTCTGACGGCCTGCTCGGTGACCTGATCACACTGACAGTGTCCCCTGTCCCGTCCCCATACACCTGACTGCACTGACAACCCCTTGACCCCTCCATATTGACGGCTAATGACTCGCCTCCTCTCCCCTCCCCCCACAGACGGCGGCCGCCCCGCGCCACTCTGACGGCCTGCTCGGTGACCTGGTCACTCTGACGCTGTCCCCTCCCCTCCCTACTGACCTGACTGCACTGACCCCCCTCCCCCCCCCCCCCGGCAGACGGCGGCCGCCCCGCGCCACTCTGACGGCCTGCTCGGTGACCTGGTCACTCTGACCCTGTCGCCGTCCCGTGAGCCCGTCACCTCCGGCGCCTCGGCCGTCCAGCTGGCCCCCCTACTGGAGGCCGAGAGGAGGGGCTGGGAGGCAGGCACCGCCGGTTGTGTGCCGTACATCGAGCGGTGCCCCGTCTCCATGTTCAACATGAAGAGCGGAGCGCAGGACTTGGCTAGGGCGCTGCTGGATTTTGTGAATACTCGACCCCCGACGGAGGTGTGAGTGCTCGTATCGTTCTGCTGTTACGTTTTTATACGTGGTCACTGGGCGTTTTCTTCTTCTTCTTTTTTGCAAATGAAAGAGAATCTGTTTCCCGTGTCAGCATAATGCAGCTATTCACATTTCCTTTTTGGTTTTGTTATGTTTGTGTTAAAACAACCAATCAACTCGTACATTTATTAACTAGCTGGTGTAGGACTAATCAATATTTTCTTAGAAAGTGGCGATCACGGGTATTTCTTCAGGGATTGCATGTAATGTGTATTGTGTAAGACTGTCTGAACAATGGAAGGTATGTCTGGCGAGGGTTCATCCGACTTTTTTCAGCGAGTTGCGACTAGAATGTTAGCAAGACTTGATTTACTAAACGAGGTTGCATGAAACAAACAGATATTGAAATAAATAAATATGATTGCATGGTCAGAGTTTACTTTTCTTTGGACCGAAGCCGAGCTAAAGTTGCAAAGGATTTCCGTTTAACAATTAGCTCAGGTGAATTACCTATTGTAATCATATCAATCGATAGGCAAGGCCAATTGGTGGTTACTTGTGAACTTCATGTTCATCGAATATTGTTCGTTTGGCTAATGCAAAAGTAGGTAGGTATGTAGGTATTCAGTAAGTCAAATATTTTATGTGCATACTTACAGAAACCCGACCTCCCCGCTTGCGGTGAGCCCAACGAATCGTCATCCTAATAAAAACCAAGGAACACCTAAAAATGAGTTGAACTTCGATGGCATACGGCATACCTATAATTACGGAGCGAGCGAAGCGAGCGGAGTCTTAGAATAACGTAGAATAACTTCCGTAGAATAACTTCCGTAGAATAACGGAAATTTCTGAGTATGAGCGGCCGGCCGGCCGGACGGCCGGCCGTGGTCACGATTCTGCGACGCTTATATCTCAGCAACCACTTGACCGATTTGCATGCGGTAATTTTTGTAGGGTAGCTTCATTCCTTCTACCAAGTATTGGACTATTCCCGATGCATGTGGGTGACCCCTTATGCACGTGCCACGTGCAAAACGAAGAGGTGTCCGTTTTGTAATTGTTGCAATATCTCGGTAACTACATGGCTGATTGCGCTGAAAGTTGGCATGTAGGTAGGCACCCACTAGGCACTGCATATCCATGTGCCAGAGTTGGGGTGCTGCTGCACGTGCGCACGTGCAGGGGTCGTTTCCAGATCTCGAGAACGGCTGGACCGATGGCGGTCAAATTTGGTACACGGTTAGGGACCAGTTAGTAGGGTGCCGTGCACACGTCAGTTGGGACCCATTTTGCACGTGCGCACGTGCAGGGTGCCGCTCCCAGATCTCGAGAACGGCTAGGTCGATTGTGCTCAAATTTGGCACATCGCTAGAAACCAGTCAGTAGGGTGCCGTGCACAAGTCAGTCGGAGGTACCCCCTCGAAATTTCGCACGTGCAAGACTCACCCCCTCGCTCGCTCCGTTAGTCGCCCCAAAAGGCGCTATACTGGTTAATATCGATAATGTTACCGTCATAATTGATATGACAGGTAACGTTATTCCACCGACTGCACCGCAAATCATCGGAACAGCATGTCTCGGTACACTGAAAACAAATGGACACAGTGAGGGCATGTTCTGTAGGTACTGGTAACACATCAGGCATGTGTTAATCGCACCCAAAACACAATATGGCTGAGTATTTTCACGCTTGGCGGGACCTTCGACACGTTTGATAACACATAAAGCAGAATAATGACACAATTTTATCGTGTTAAGCACGCTGGACGAATGTAATGCATCAGTGTATCGAAATCATGTGTTGTCGGATATGGTAGGAGTGTACCCTTGCACAAATACACCGTGCCATCCACCAGTGAGCGACCTCTGAACCTTAACTTCAAATGGGGATAAGAGAGGGCGTTTTTCGAGCATCGACTTTTATGCTGGGTTTTTGTAAAAATTTGTCAAAGTGTTTTGAGAAAGGTCAAAATGCACAATACAGCCGAGGGAGTCGATACATGATAAATTGTCTAGAGCAATATGCGCTGATTACATTAAGTGCAAGCTGAAGCATAGCTAATTAACGTCTGCTTGGAGGAAGAAACTCCTCCGTCTATATAGGATATATTTGAAAAATCGGTGGCCGTAAGTTTTGACACAGGCTAAGGTGATCGTTAACGTGCTTCGGCAGTTGGCATTTCACGGGTTTGTTTTGAGAGCTCTCCTACGCGCGTCCGCACCCCTCACATCCAACCTTTTACCAGTTGTTCCACTCACTCTCCTTCACTGCCCACAACCGCATCCAGTTGCCCCACGATGGGGAAGCGGCGCCGTCAGCGCCCGCTATCCGATTCCTTATCCGATTCCGACTCTGATTCCCCTCTGAATCCGACTCCTCCCTCTGCCATGGATACCGACTCCCGCCCGACCGTCAACCCTCCCTCCTCTACCCACCCTTCGACTGATCTACCCGGTACCGACCCTCGCTCGTCCACTGACCACGCCCTGACCGCTGACCTGACCTCTGACCCCGCCCGGCACTCTGACCCTCGCTCGTCTACCGACCTCGCCCGGAGCCATGACCCTCGCCCGTCCACCGACCACTCCCGGAGCTCTGACCCACGCACGAACTTGGCCAACGCACCTGCCTGTGATTCGGTTGATCGCTCTCCACTCGAACCGTACTTGTCTCTCGACGGCTCCTTTCTGGTTGTTAAGGCTACCGATAGCGACTTCTCTTTCCGGAAGATTAACGTTTTCTGGCCTCAGAAGCAGATCGCTGCTATCTATGGACAGCATGGCCCCGACATCGAAGCTCCAGCTAACGGCACTCTCGTCATCAAAACTCACAATCGTAGGGACACCAAAGCACTCCTGAAGACAACCATGTTCTGTGGCAAACAGGTGACGGTCTCCTCTCCACCAGAGTCGCAACTCTTGCAAAGGCACGATTTTCGCCCCCGAGATCCGCCACATGACCGAGGATGAGATCCAGTCAGACCTGAGAGGAGAGGGAGTAACACACGTCAGACGGCTGACTACCTTCCGCGATGGTCAGCGACGGGACACTAGTTTGCTCGTTCTGACTTTCGATTCCACCACCCTGCCCGAGAAGATCGCCATCGGCTGGCTCAAGAAAGACGTCCGAGTTTTCATTCCCAATCCGCTCCGCTGTTTCAAATGTCAACGATTCGGTCACGGCAGTGCCACCTGCCGTCAGGCTGCCCGCTGCCAGAAGTGTGGTGAAGCCCCTCATGCGGACTCCGCTTGCACCAAACCAGTTACTTGTCTCAGTTGTGGTAGCTCGGAACATTCAGTCTCTTCCTCTCAGTGTCCCATGTGGCAAAAAGAAAAACGGATCTGTGAGGTAAAAGCAAAAACCGGCTGTTCCTATCCAGATGCCCGCCGACGCGTAGAAGCAGAGACAGCCACTCCAGCTCCCGGTCGGTCGTATGCAAAAGCCGCCACCACCCAGACTTCTTCGTGCAGTACCCAGACGGACCCCATTGCAGCACTACCCCCTCTCCAGTGTCTGAAGCCTCTGACCATGTCCACGTCTGCGTCCACGAACACCAGTAACGCGACCGAGACCATATTTGGTGATCCGATGCCCTCCTCCCCTCCAAACTCGCAGCCCGAGGTCTCCCAGGAGATCGCTCAGCAGCCAAAACCCTCTGTCGGAGCTGGTCGCTCCACCGCAGGCTGGATGAGAGTCCAGCGGTCAAAAGGACCCCGCCCCCAGCCTCCAGCAGAGGACGGACAAACACCAACCCCTCGAGTGTCACGACCAACGGTTCGAGTGTCTATGGGCCACAACCGCTCGGCTAGTTGGGCTTCGCCCCGTCGTGGTACGACAAACAAAAACTCCTTTTCCAACAAACAATAAGTACCATACTCCAGTGGAACTGCCGAGGCCTAGTTTCTAACTGGGCCGAAAGCAAGATGCTTTTCTTACTCTTAGCTCCAATCGTCATTGCTTTGCAAGAAACCTGGCTTCTTCCAACAGACCCTTACAACTTTTCACTGTTCAATTATTCGCTATACCGCCATGACGAGACTGACGGTGAGCGCCGTCACGGCGGCACAGCTCTATATATTAGTAATGATTTTGTTCACCAACAAATTATACTCCATACACCACTACAAGCCGTAGCTTGTACTATCCGCTTGAATGGTCGAGAAATAGATATTTGCTCTATCTATTTACCGCCAAACACAGACAATAGCACACTCGAAAGAAATCTCAACAATCTCATAGCACAGTTTACTCATCCTTTTCTCTTAGTCGGCGATTTCAACGCCCACAGCCCTCTGTGGGGACTTGGTATTGCTGCCGCAGACCAGCGAGGCGATATCATTGAACGGGTTTTGGATCACCATTATCTTGTTCTGCTTAATAAAGGAGATAATACGCATTTTTCACTTTCACATAACAGCGAAACAGCAATTGATTTGTCAATTTGCTCTCCACAAATAGCCACCCTATTCGAATGGTCCGTGGACTCTGACATACACCAAATACGGTACGGAAATCGTGTTCCCAAGAGACTGAAAGTATCCATGCTTTACATTAGACCCAATTGCAAAAATTCGGAATCTGACGAAATTAGCCATTTTTACGTCGGATTTATGAAAATTCTAGACAGGATATACAAAAACCCGAGATGCTATCAGGTGGGAAATTTCATTGTCTATTACCGCTTTTTGAAGTGTTTTTCGACCTGAGACCGGCAAATCGTGTTCCCAAGAGACTGAAAGTTACCCTGTTCTACAGCAAGCCAATGGCAGAATTCTAATATTTGATGGAAGATATCTTAGATGATAATCACCTTACTACTAATTGCAGTGCTTCATTGGAAAGCTCAACACTGACACTATCATCGGTCTTTGCATTGCTATTCCACAGAACAACAAGAAATAACGTTTTGAAGCCTTTGAATATTGACTTACTTTTCATCGACGGGCTCGATCCCCATCACCACCAACAATTTTCCGGGAAGTCAGGATTTTGCAGATATTTAAGCAGAATTGCAGAGCTGTGTTAATACTACGGCACTTAAATATACATTTTAAGAAAACTGTTTTTTTTTTTCTTACCATGAGTTAGGTCTCAGAAATAGCAACATGTCGATATAATGAGCCGCAGGGCCTCCTCTAACATACCCACTGGGTGGGCAAATGCCCACCCAGTCGCCACAATTGCCCACCCAGTGGCGTCGATTTGCCCACCCAGAAGCAAATGCAAAAATTCTGGTCCGGCCGGACGTCCGGTACTACCTTTCTGGTCTTAAACAAACTGGATGCTGTTTGAAGGTCAAAAAAAAAGTTTTCTGGTTGCCCGATATTCAGGGGCGTAGTCAGAATTTCCTCAAGGAGCGGGCTAAACGCACAGGGACCCAAAATAACCCCCTCAAAATCCAAAAAGCCATCTGGTTGGATCCAATATTTTTTGGAGGGGGCCCAAATAAATAGAAAAATATTTATTAACAAAAAATATTAGAACTGAGGGGGTAAGCAGTCCATGGGCCCTGTTAGATAGGCCCACGAATAGCTTCATAGAGTCGCCAGCCGGTTTTGAGGGCGGTCTGAGAGCCCGCAGGTCGGATGAGGGTTCTTCAGACTGTCACAGGCCCCTACAGTGCATGAGAGCCTCGTAAGCCGTCTGAGGGTCATATAAGCCGCCTAAGGGCCACTAAGACCGACAAAAGCCCTCCTTGCACTTGCAGAGGCCCAGTCAGGCCGACGGAGGGCCCTCTCAGACAAACTAAAGACCCGTTCAGGGCATTTGAGGGCTTCCTCAAACCGATAGGGGCCCCTCAGATCGACAGTGGATCCGATCCGAGCTCCCTCAAACCGATATAGGGTCAGACCAACAGTCGGAACGCATTGATTCTGTTTACACACCGTTGGACCCAAGTTGGACCCATCCCATCCAACTGACCCCCTGGTTTCAATAGGGCCCAAAGGCTCTAAAATTGGGGCTCTCTTGGCCAAAGTATAACTACTCAGCTGTGTCAAAGGATCTGCCGCAGGGGCCTTTGCGTCGCCAAGGGCCCACTGTGTCAGCCAGGGGCCCCTATAGAATAAGGACCCCTGGCTTCCGGGGGGGGGGGGGGGGGCATGGTCCCTTTGGCCCCCTCCTTGGCTATGCCACTGCAGGTGACAAGCGTTCTTCCAGGCGACCAGGGGGCAGGGGCCAGGCGACCAGGCCCCCAGGCGACCAGGGGCCCCCAGGCGACTAGCCCCCAAGCGACCGGGGCCCTCTAGGCGCCCAGGGGCCCCAGGAAACCGGGGGTCATCGGATGAGTGCAGGGGCCCATTGGGTCATCAGAGCGCCACAGAAATGAAACTTCGATGTCAATTTTCTTCCGAGTAAAAGACGTTTTATCCAGTGTTCGAAAAAATAAATATCCCGGGGCCTGAGGGGCTCCCCCATGGCGCGTTTTGCGCTCAAGGGAGGAGGCCATTGCCCCCGTGGCCCCTCCCCCTTGGCTACGCCCGTGCCGATATTGTTATTCATGGACAAAGCCAGCTAAATCTCTAAATACGGCTGAGCTCAACAAATAAGCAAGAATCATTACCGGTTCGGGTAGCCTTTACTACAATGTATTATGTTAGTTAGCCCTCGCCCGGTGAGGGGGGTTGATGCACCCCCCTAAGGTTTTCACAAATAACGTAAAAACGGCGGCGCCCAAATTTGGCATACCCTCTGGGGCAACCTTTTGGCACTTGTCCTGAAAATTTCAGATCTCTAGTCTTTTCAGGTCAGGTCACCAGGTCACAAACCCCGTACAAGGTCAGGGAAAAATTGGACTAGTTTAGCGGCAACCGAATGCCAGAGTTTTTCGTTGATAGCGTGAGTTCTATAGCACGTAGCGCTACCAAATTTAAGACACAACTCGGAGCATCTGTTTGTCACTTGGCCTTGGAGTTTTAGGTTCCAGTGATCCGAGGCCAGGTCACAAGGTCACAAAAACTGGTACATTGTCAAAATAGCAAGAATACCGAATAAGAATACCTACCACGCAGTTTGCGGAGGGCTGTACATGTAACTCGGGAACGAATCGCTCGAGCATCGCTAACCATAAAACATACGACAAACGTTAACTTTGCAAACTATCATCTTATTTCCAATAACGGCACTGCTTATTTCGCCTCACCACCCCCCCAAAACAAAAAAAAAACACCCCCCCCCCGTAACAGGTTTTGAAATTGGTTGAACCCCAAAACAGTGGCTGGATTCGCCCTTGGGCAGGGGAGTAGCGAAAATTCTGCCCACCCAGTGAAAAATCCTTAGAGGAGGCCCTGTAATGAGGAAAAATAAGTGCAAATGATCGCGCAAGAGAGTATCCTTAGCCCCCTAGCAACCACCTAGCAACGTAAGGCAAAATAGTAAACAACTCCTGTTGATATCAGGTACTCAGCCTTGGAAGCACACTAGACGGTCACCATACTGGGCTTCATACTGAATTTTGCATACCAGAATGGATGTTTCCAACTAAAATTAATTTTTCGCGAAATTTATCTTTGTTGCCCTACTATTTTTCGTAAAACCGAGATATACAAACTTCATGATATCAAAAATAATATTGTGATAATGAAAACCGCCATATAAAACAAAATAATTGCTGATATCATGCCTACTAAACTTGGTCCTACCCCCTAATTCAATATACCCTGTATGCTGTTTGCGCGCAACATCTGCCGCAAACGCCGCACTTCTAAAATAAAGTCGCTAGAAACAGCGGAGATCCCCAAAAAGTAAACAAAAGTAAAAGTCTAATATCTTGAAAACCGGTGAATATTTTTCGGTGAAATTTGGTAAATATTCGTTTTTGCTCTTTCTGAACCGAGCGACATCACTTTCATACCAATTTATTAACTTTTTTGAAGGTGGGAGGGTCCCTTTAATTTAGTGGTCGCCGCTTACTAATCATGCGGCATATACGCCGCACATAACCGCCAATGCCGCAACGTAGCTTAGATTTCGAAGTAAGCATTTAGTCCCACCCCATTCTACTATGAGCTTCTCAAACTCACTCTCACGGGTTACCTGACGTCGGTCCACGCCGCCACGAAATCGGGCGACGGGTGCTCCTTCTGATCCAGATGGCGCCACTGCAGGAATTGGTTTATTGCGACTGCAAGGACATCTGCTGAGTTTTTCGGGAAGTTTCGAGCACATAAGCGTCTCATGCGTCATTAGTGTCTCAATACAAGCTAGAGCTAGCTTTCCAGTGTTTTGTTTGGTAATTTTCCTGCCCCTAGCGGTATAAGAGGGTAATGCGTCTTTATAGAAATAATGATCGAATGTGTCATCTCAAAATACCTTTTTATTTTATTATTTTAAAATAAAATGGGTACAAAAAATGCTCTGAAACAAAATACTTTTATTCTAAGGAGAGATTTAGAGGCATATCTAAGCTAAGTTATTTTCACCGGTAGAGGCGCTGCAAAGATAAGAACAAACTCGAGGCCGTCGAGGCCTTCTATAATCGCATTGCCGGGTGCTCCCAGTCCGCTTTTTGTTGTGTGATATTTGTTGGGCCATAGGCTTATTTTAGGTAGTTTATTATATAAAAGTGTTTCCAAAATGGCGTTTTTGCCTCGCGCCTCGTCTGGTCTACGTGCAAGCATCCCCATGTTCAGGTACTAGTCTAATTTTACAAGGAATTGTTGAACATGCAGAGCTGGACAACCTGAACCGGGTAGTTTGGTTAAACCATTAAAGTTATGTATGTGGCAGATTGTTTTTTTTTTGGGAGGGGGTTGGTACATCAGATTTAACTGTAATGAATAAGTTGATTTTCAAGAGTGATTTGACATTTGCATTTTGATTTGTGCCGCTTTTTAGGAGCCATAGTTAATTTTTAAGCTACAGTTTTTTAATATATAAATCTAAATATTTGGCAATTTTGCTAAATGTTTTTGCTATTTTGAGCCAGTGTTCATGTGCTGTACCAGTAGCGGCAGCACTGCCGACTTTTGGTCCCATTCTTTCCATGCAATGTCCATAGGGCCAATGTTAAAATGCCAAAACCAAAGGGGGCACTGTGCCCTCCCCGTTCCGCCGCCTTGGCCTACCTATTTGCTGTACTGTGTAATTTCATTGGCTGATCCAGGGGGCATTTTACCCTCTCCCATGGTACCCCCACAGTACCCTAGATATAAATCTTGAGTTTTTCTGAGAATATGACAAAAATTACATTTTTAATGAGAAGAAGAGCATTTTAAACTGCACAGTAGTGTGTAAGGAATCAAAATCCAATGAATTTTTGGAATTTGAAGACTTGGTAGATGACCATGCCCCCCCCCCCCAGCATCAAAGACAGCCTGTCTGGATCCACCAGTGTCTGACTTGGTAGATGGGTCAGTTGTCTCGTAGATGAATATGACACAATTTGAAGGTTTAGGAAGGTGAAAGTGTCTATTAGTGGGTGTTCTTCATTGATCACCTATTTAATTGATGCAGGTTCAGGGTATGATTTGCAAACATTTATTGGCCCTGCTTTATCAGGTCAGCTGAGTGGTACCCAGGCAAAAAGTTTTTAACCTTGCTCATACACTATTAATGTCATTTCATTGTTTTTCATTTATTGTTTCACAATCAACTTGGAATTTATCCACAAGTGCTTGCTGAATGCTATGCAACATCATAATGTCAACTTTAAGCTGCAGCCTATGGCAATTCGAGTTCATAATATAGGTGACAGGCCCCCGTCTTACCATCCAAGCAGGATACCGTATAGGCCGCTAATCCTCCCCTGTTTGCGTCCTCAGGCAGGCGAGGATGATGTCCAGTGGAGAGCCCGGCTCCGGCGCCGGTAAGGGCGGCGGCGGCGGCGGCTCGATCCGCGAGGCCGGCGGCTCCTTCGGCAAAATGGAGTTCGCCCACGAGGAGCAGTACTTCCGCAAACTGGTGAGCAGTGGGTGTTAGATGTGTGAGAGAATGGTGCCAGAACGGCTGGTTGGGTGAATCGAGTTCCACAGTGCTTTGGTAGACATCTCATTATGCTAAATTGTGACATTGTCACTATTTTTTGCATCGCCCATTAGTTCCCCCGTTCAGTTACCGACATGTCAGCAAATACCTAGTTGCCATACGGCTTTGATATTTTGAAGTAGAAAGTTGCAATGGTGATTCGTTTCGATCTTGAGCTAAATGAAATGTAAACCAATGTTGTTTCCATGACGTTAGTCTCAACTTGTGTGCGCCATATTCAGGAGTGACTCGTTTTCAGTTTTCAGCACGTTCAAATCTGGCACTCTTGTTTACGTCTTTTCCCAACAGCAAAGCGAGCAGCTGGCCAAGCTGAGGACGCACCTGGACGAGGAGGTGTCCCACCACGAGCACGAGATCGCCCGCCACCAGGAGGCCATCAACCGGCACAAGGGCCGCATCGACAAGCTGAAGGAGCAGCAGAAGAAGCAGCAGGAGTAGGCACCGGCCGGGAGCGCGCCGACGCCGCCGCCGGCCGGTCGAGTAGTGTGCGGGGTTTTTGTACGGGGCGGGCTGCGGCTCTGAGTCGCCTAACCGGGAGCAGTGGCTTTCACCTACATCGTGCGCACGCGCCGGCGAGCCGACAGTGGCGGCTGGCCGGCAGCTGATGTGATGACGGCGTTCGCAAGACGTCAGTACCGAAGTAGGGCCTGTGTTGTAATGGCAGTGTCCGGTCGGATATCCGTGCAACATGGTTATATGTACATAGATACTACTGGAAAATATACTTAGCGCTGGAGCGAGAGCTGAGTTTCCGCGGCTGGGTAGGTAGCGAAGTTGGCTTATCGTCGTCACTAATAACATTCCTTGCATTGCGTATATTTGATCCACCATTGGCGGTGGTGGCAGTCGACTTGTGTCGTTCTCCTCCATCCGCGCGCCCGCGCAGCTCAACGGTCTGGGAGCGGGTCGGCAACAAAGCAAAACTGCGCCAAATACGATCATCAAACACATGTACAGAATGCCAGTAGACGGAAAGCAATTACAGGTAAATCAACTTTCGTCAATGAGCATCAATAAAATCACAGCAAATCTCTACAAGCAACTAAATCACATTTGTACCCTTCCGTCGTGAACTTACGACTTAATGAACACTACAACAGATCGATTTCTTACTCCTGTCGGCACGAAACTGGCCCAAACAAAACTTGCCCAAACTGAAACTTCTGCGCTCGATCTGGCTCGTACAAATCTCTGTCGGCAGCAGAACGATTCCTTGCATCGTTCCCAACAAGACTTCCAAATGAAAACAAATGTAAGAACTGGCGCGAACGGCGGCTGAAAACAGCCGACCCAATCTCTCTGCAAAAACCGCCGGGCAGCGTACGGGACCGTCGAAAAAACGACGGGGGCGGCGGCAGCCGCGCCTTGCCGCGACACCATGTCACACGGAGCGGCGGCAGCGTCCCCGCGTCGCGCGCGACCCCGACCGTCCGGAGAGCCGGCCGCCCTCGGACGAGCAGTCGTCCGTCTCGGCCGACTCCAGCGTGGAGAGAATGCTGAACAGCACACAGGACACCTGCCGACACGGAGGGAGCGCCATCAGAAGCGAGCTCCAAGTCCAGACTGAATATGACGAAAGGGAAACACGATATATGCACTTGTACTGTAACGCCACACGGAGATATTTGGAAGTGGGTGCCCGTTCTTCAAAAAATATGTTTTGACCGGTTTATTTTATCAGCTCAAGGATTTTTTTATCAACTACAAGAAATATTAGTTCAATTAGGACATAGGCAATAATGAACGCACGTGTCTACTAATGACATCGTAGAATGCCACGTGGCGTCCCCGCACCAACCTGATTCTCATTTCCATGAGTACGACAATATTGTCTCACCAGTACGATGATGATGAAGACGGTGTTGCCGTGCAGCTGAGTGGCCGGCGCCGCCTCCATCTGGCGCAGGGCGTCCTGCGCCGGCTGGAAGCGCGGACGCAGCTCCAGCGTGTGCCGCAGGTGCATCTCCGCCTCCTGGTAATTACCGTACTCCTGAAAAAAGGGACGCACGGGGAAGTGGAAGTGATGAACGGTTACGGCGTCGGTAAGAAATAGGTCACAATTCGCAATCATTCTTTATATACGTCCTTCGTCCACCCGTCCATTCGATCTATTTTTAATATCGATGAGCATCGATGAGTCAGACGCAGGCGTCGTCTATGTGGTGGTGTCTCTGTCGTGTCTCCGTAACAACATTGGATCAACGAGCGCCATAATTAACCAAAGATCTCGTTGCCATTCGGTCAACGTTTGTTAAATACACAATCCAGTTTAAATCCCGGTGTATATCCATGCCATCAAAACAGTATTGAATAACCAGCCACGGACATCCCGAATTATCTTTCATCGCTCCTACCCACTCTGCCCCCTTCCTTTAGCCTAACATTCTCGTCCCACGGTCCCAGTGTGGTTGCATCAGCTTGGCACGGTGACAGCCGACAGTTCGCGACTGACCCAGAGACTGAGCTGGCTTCGGTGGTTCGTAGTGACCTTGTACCTTGACCGTAGTGACCTGTAGTGACCTTGATATTGAAGCCGTTGCAATATATACTCGGCTTCGGTTCCATGCGCACTGCGCAGTTATTCTGATTATTATTCTTGCTGCTGAGTTGCTGACTCCTGTAACACTCAAGCTAACCGGTTTTCAGACGAGGCATGGGAGGGGAGGAGAGAGGAAGGGAGGAGAAAGAGGGAGATATACAGGGTGTCCCATAAGTTCGTTCTCACCTAAATTTTACGTTTTTAGGCTCTCTTGCTTAAAGGCACGCTGAAATTGGCTCGTTACTGAGCTTACGTGGTTGCCATGGCTGGTAGAAATATGCTCCACAGTAACTAATTTCTGTAGACAAAATAGTTTTTGCTAGAGAGCCCGTTTCCTACACAGACGGCTAACGCCGGAACTTAGAGGTCTCCAATACGGGTACGTCTCGGTATTTAGTCAGCACGTGACCATTCGCGACGATTGAGGGTGATTGAGGCCTACCAGTCTGTAGACAATGTCCATCGCTAACTGGACGTACAGTCAGCAAGTGACACCGATGATTTGTCGGGAGCCAATCACTGCAAGTTTATCCTCTTTTTTTTTGTCAGCTCTCAGGAGTGAGCCATGTGGCCAAAACTGTGTGGCGCCAAAGTGGCCATCAAAAAGGTCAAAGGGTTAGAAAGTTGGTAAGCAGACTTTTCAGGATGGATTACCAGCTGTCTAAAATTGTTCTTATGGGGTATATAACTCAAGGTGACTTAAGCTTTGCTTACCGGAGGGCTCAAAACAGTCAAAAACGTCTTAAAATGGCCAAACATGAGTTTCGTTATGCCTGAGGCTAAAAAACTAAAGGGCTGAGGACATCAACCAGGTCATCTGGACTAACTAGTCCACGTTCGAGATGAAGCACCCGTCCAAACCCGAAAACAACCCCATAAGGGCGAAGGAGGAGGCCTCCGTTTCGTCCCGTTATGTTCGTATGCGAAAGGCCAAGGTCACGGTATTGTGGGGTTATAGGCGTCCAGACGCTGACCAGGTTGCGATTGGTGTCCCAGAAACAGCTTTGGGAAGCATAATACCTTTTCAAGAAAATCTAGGAGGAGTTTCAGCCCTCAAGCTGAACTCGAAACGCGAGTATGAACACATTCATAGAGGAGAAAATGGCATCCGAGAGGTCGTAGGCCCATCTTCAGGCAAGACAATGCATCAGTGCACAGGTCAAGCAAAGCTTAAAAGCGGTGCAAGGAGACTGTGACAGGCGTTTGTGGCAAGACCACATGCCAAGCACCTGATCGGATCAAAATTTCATAAAAAATTGTTGGTTATGCTGAAATTTAGGCTCGTCGAAGCGTAGCGCTGTTCCAGCCTCGAGGAGTTCACGGCGCATGTCAAGTCAGTCTGGGTTAACTTTAAAGGTAGTGTGCCACCTTTGAAAGATTTCCCATTTTATTTTTCCTAGGATAAGAAGCTTCTGTTTTTACCTAATATCGCAAAAAAATCAAAAATGGGCCTGAAATAGTGCCTTTTTCGCCTAAAAGTTTATCGGTTTTTCGATATGTATAACAACTGTAGTGGGCTGGCCTGCAAACAGCATGTTTATTAATCCCACCCAGAAATGACAAAGAAAGCCTCTGATTGGCCAGTTTTGGCTGACAGACGCAGAATATTTGTCAGCCATAGAATACTATGCTTTAGCACTTTTTCAATAATGACGCATACGTTACATTTGAAACTTAGGGCCGCTAAAATATTGTAATGGATCTTACATGTTAAATATAACATTTTTTGGAAGCCCGTACAGATTGTTTCTAGTTGGTTGGTGTTACAAAGTATTAAAAGAAATGATTATTCTCTAGTTAATTAAGAACAAAAGCTTTTAGCTACTAGAATTCGCCCGACAGTCTCCAGAATCCTGCGTACGGGGACACCGCAGTCTCGGTTTCTCATGTTATCGCAATGGGGAAAAGGTGAAATTTTAAATGAGTCAGTATCGTGTTAGGAAGTACGGATGCTTTCAAAACTAAATGCATTTCAATTCAAATCCCAGAATATCCTTTCGCGGAAATAGCCCTTCTCAGCCTGTCGGCCCATTCTCTAACGCTACAAGTCTGAACGGTGAGCGTCTCGTGCGTTGCTCACGTATCGCGATAAAAAGGACGGTGTCATATAATCAAATAAACTTTTCTTATGCATAGAGCATTTGAAACCTCACACCAAACGCCTCCTTTCCTTGTTTTCTACTGCTGCCTTTTTCACATACCTACCCAATGACCGTTCCCTCGACGTTCCTTATCGACTGCCTCACATTCAACGGCCATATCCCACCCAAGATTCATCCCACCTACGCTGAAAACCAATCGGAGGCACTTTCAATCGTCCCTTGAATAAAATTGCTACCTACACGTATTTAGAGGAGAACGAGGCCCAGAAAAGGCATGCATAAAACGATCGGTTTTGGCCCCCATGGAATAAGCCAGCAGGCCTAACATCATATTGATTGAAGAACATTTTCGAGGACATGATATCTATTAGATCTTATTTTGCAAAGGGATTGTAAACATAACGTTCGCGTATCGCAGCTCTGAATCTGCTGGTGTCAGTCCCATGCAGCAGCCACCAGACCACCGCCCCGCCGCCTACAGTTCGCTGATCTTACAGGCCGGCTGTCCCAGTGTCTCATCAAACGATCACAGCTGACAGCATTTATGAAATGCCAAACAAAAACAGACACGCAAAATTGTGGATCATGCCAGCTCTTTCAGTCATGCGCGTGGAGATATATCAGTAGTTTCCTATCACAGATCACACTGAACAGAGCAAAATCTGTAGACACTCAGCAATAAATAATGCATTATCAAGTACACCGTCACCGATCGATGCATCGTGGATTACACCGAATAATATATCAGTGCTTTAACGTTCCCCCAGGTGGGTGGGGGCGTTTTTGGCCACACCTGACAATTTTGTGCTTGCATAAATAAAACGACACGAAACTTAGTATAGCTTATGTATAATGCATCGATTCACATCATTTGTGAAAAAAATGTAACTCCATGTCACCTAAGGTCAGGTCAGGTCACCATGACGTAGACGTTTGAAACTCGAGCTATTGCATGAGAATCAGTACCAACTACCAACATCTTGAGTATCTTTAATTGTGATATCGGTGACCGAGGGTCAATAGGCGGCGGAACGGGGAGGGCACCGGGGCACCGTGCCCCCTTTGATTTTGGCATTTTAAGATTAGCCCTATGGGCGTTGC